AAATTCATATATGGGATTTTTGAGTTTTTTAGTGAGGTAAACAAATTTACCAAAAAATTATCAAAATCGGAAATGGTGGGAGGAAGAACCTTTGCTTGATTTGATATGGACTGGCCCATACTTTACAAATTATCTCTAAAACAAATCATTTTATCAAAATTTTATAAGAGACAATTTTTTTTTAACAATAAATGATTACCTGAAAAAATACCGTTTGGAAGTCATTGGCGCTCGTACTAAAAAATAGGAGGAGTCAGTGAGTACTGGATCCCCTATTTTGATTATTTGACAATTGTTTTTTGTTTTTTTGGCCTCCAAAAATGTAAATATTTATGTTGAAGTAGTGTACCTAATTTAAACTTAATATCTTATCAATTACTCGAATTATTAAAAAAAATCAGTTTTAAATTTCAAACTTTGTCGCCCTGTATATCGAACATGAAGCTCTAAATTGAAAAATGGTATTATGAAAGTCTTATTGTTTTAACTCAAGGAATATATGGTTAACGGATTGACCTCCTTTTCCCGGACACCCTGTATACTTTAAGTTTTGTTTTACGTGTGTGAAAAGTAAATAACTGAAAATGAGTCAATTGTTAAATTCGTTGAAAGGGGCCACACTTGCCCGAAAATGTAACATCTGCAAAACAAGAAGCTGAAAATTTTCCAAGCACAAGTAAGTAAGACGTGAAAATAAAAACATTGTTGATTTGCCTGTTTACTGGACTTTGTTACAATTTAAAACATTTAAAAGCAATAATAGCTGGTTAATTGTTAAAGACAAAGCATTTGGCTGTTCAATTTGTAGTAAGGTACATTCTTTTTTTACCGAAAAGGAAAAAAACTTCATTTCATTACCGTGGCGGGAGAACGAAAAAAATAAGGAGTTTTGAACAAAAGAAATCGGACGCTCATGTCAAGGCCGTGGAGATAATAGAAAGATCAAAGAAAGCGCGTATTGAATCGTCTTTTGAAGAGGTAAATCGTGCTTATTTTACTACTACTGAACTAGTTTTTAGAACAGTCAATAAAATAGCAAAGATGCAAAGGCCAATTTTGGATCGTCCTGATGTCGATTTACAAGTCTTAAATGGCCTGCCTGCCTGCCACGATATTGTTATTTATATTGTACAAGAAATGAAAAAATTATTTATTAAAATATTTTTGACGCTAAGCAGAAGACCCTCGTTATTGTAATTAGAACATACTTTAAAGAATATCCGGGTGAGGTCCACTTATTTAATCTTGATTTAATAGAACTAGCTCATACTACTTCATAAAATATTACAAACCAGCTTTTGAGTTGCTTATATAAATATGGATTTAACTAAAATTTCCTCAAAGAGTGTCTTATTGCATTCGCCTGCGATAGGACCTCTGATATATTAGGTAAAAAAAGAAGTTGCCAAGCGATTGCAACCAATTTTTTCAAACCTATTAGTTTGGCACTGTTCAAACCACAGATTAGAGCTTGCTGTTAACGATTGCGTAAATGAAGTATGTGTCGTAAACCATTTTAAGATTTTTATTGACAAGGTTTACCTACAGAGTATATAACCAATCCAAAAAAATCAAAATAAACTTGAACAAACAGCAGTTAGTTTAGAGGCTCAGCTTTAAAAAAAAGGAAGAATAATGTCAGTATACTAATATATATACTGTATATATGATGCCTTATTTCTAGTAAAAGAACAGTTAATGCTGCTGTACTAACCTATCAAGCTTAGACTTTGAAAATGCTTCTACTGATCCGACACGAGATGCAAGAGAAAGGGCAAAATACGAGGGATTAAAAAAATACATAAGTTCTACTGATTTTGTAAAAAATTTAACTTTATTTGCTAACGCCCTTGATGAATTAGCAGATCTATCAGAACATCTTCAAAGGCAAAATATATTACTTACCTACGCGGTTAGAGCTGTTTGAGTCATAATACGAGTGTTAGAATATATGGCTATTACTCCTGAGCCAAAATATGCTTCTGCGTTGCGCTCGATACACGTATAAAGGGGTAAAGCTTCATGAAGGAAAAGTTGTACTCATAAATGCCGCTCAGTTTTTCACGAGTTTAGCTAATAATTTCAAAAGTCGCATGATTTCAGTTCATCAAAAACAAGCACGACATGTCCATTACCATGTCATGACATATATGAATTTGTTAGAGAACAATAATATTTTGGAGCCGAAAAACTGGCCAAAATCTGATGGGACAATTATTGATATTCAACATGGAGATACGGAAGTTAGAAATATGTGCCAGTTATTTCGTTTAAACCAATACGAGCAAAACATATAATTCGTGGATTTAGAACTTATAAAATGTGTGAACAAACGGATTAAATAACTGCCGATATAAAACCACTACTAAAACCCGTAGCTACCATTGAAATATCAATCAGCGAATGCGAAAGAAATTTTAGTAGTATGTAGAACAAACAAATATTGAACGAATCGCTGCACTTCTCTTTCATTTATCAGATTTAATCCCGAAAAATATGTGCGATCATGGATTGCTAAAGGTAAACTTATAATAAATAACTTTTGAATAATAATAATTAATTGATTATCGTTCTTTCAGGCCACATTCAGTAGATGATACTGCCAGTCAAAAGAGAGTACATAAGGAAGATAGGCGATATGATTGTTTGTGGAAACTGCTACTAACAAATAGTAACAAGTATTTGCGAAATTGAATATTTTTTAACTTGTTACCTAACGGTCAAGTTCTTTATGAATAGTGTTTTTGTTATTATTTGACAAATATTTAAATAAATACGTTAATTTACGTTTGTATTTTTATTACATTGTAATCAAATTTGCGTTCCGGTTCGAGCACTGTTTAGTTATATGTATACATATAACTAAACTACTATAGTAGACAGGCCCGTGAAAGGCACGGGGGTATTAAACTTAAATTTTTACTTGAAACACTAAAAAATTACCCACTTTCTATGAAATTTTACTTAAAGTACTTAAAAATAACCTAAACTTATATATATGTTACGGCTAATGTGCAAACTTGGATAGTTTATAAACTAGCTGGATAGTTTATAAACTAGACAAACTTCAGCTATTTTAATTGAAAACATATTTTCAACTAAATTAGCGGCTAGTTTACAAAATAACCAAGGATCTTGGCTAATTTACTTGAAATTATTAGGGAAACTAAAATAGCTGGATAGTTTGTATACTATATGCTAATATGAAAACCAAAATTTCTAGTAACACAAAATAGCCAAGCTTTAGCTAGTTTGTAAACTAACCAACCAATTCTCTGGCTAATTTCGTATAACGTCACAATTTTGACTTTTGCGGGATTTTATGAAAATTAATTTTTTAAGTTTTTCTTTTACAATTTTTTTGCATATTTTCGCAATTTTGGCCAATTTTTGTTGGGTTTCCTCATATTTTAGTTGGGTTTTCCTTTCCTTTTTGCCCATTTTAGTTGGGTTTTTTGCTCAATGGGGCGGGGGGCCCAATGGGGCGGGGTCGGTTGGGTTGTGTTGCTGAGTTTGGGTTGGTTTGGTTTTTTCTCTCATTTTTGACCATTTGACCAATGGGGCGGGGGGGCAATGGGGCGGTGTCGGTAGGGTTGTGTTGTTGTGTTTTTTAACAAGGAAGCGTTAAAATTTTGCCTATGATTCATTTTAAAAACGTTAAAATGCACAAAACAAATCCGGTTAAGCCGGCAAAACGAAAAACAATGCCGTAACCTCACTTTTTTAGTTGCTATTTTGTGTTACTAGAAATTTTGGTTTTCATATTAGCCAAATTGAATTGGATAGTATACAAACTATCCAGCTATTTTAGTTTCCCTAATAATTTCAAGTAAATTAGCCAAGATCCTTGGTTATTTTGTAAACTAGCCGCTAATTTAGTTGAAAATACATTTTCAATTAAAATAGCTGACAGTTTGGCTAGTTTATAAACTATCCAGCTAGTTAACCTCAAAGTTTGTATGGCACATTAAGCTTAGAACAACCCACGTTTCTACGACAATGTGTTCACTCAAACAAATGTAATTATGTGTAAATATGTGTATTGGTAGTAAGTGATTGTTAGCAAAATATCACCTTTTCAAGTCTATTATAGTAGAAATTATATTAAAAAAACTAATTTTAAAAGTAACACTTTATCACCCTGTATCTTGGAAACATAAGTAAAATTACTTATTTATGTTTTCGTCTTATTTTGACTTGCTCAATCTTTTCCTAAATTTATGCCAACATTTTTTAGGGGTCGCTCAAAATTTTTAAAAATTTTCAAACTCGTCAAAAATTGAATTTTTGTTTTATTTTAATTTTTTTTTCTCGTCTCGATATTATTTTTTAGGTTGAAAATAATAAAAATTCTTTAAATTTTAAATCAATATTTTGATTTCTAAAGGTCGCTAAAAGTTCGTTGATATTTATATTCAGAGGTCGCTCGAAAAATTCAAAATACTCTACTTTGAAAGTGAATCTTGAGCGACCTTTAGAATTCAAAATATCGATTTGAAATTTTCGGAATCATTATAAATTTCAAATTAAAAAATAATATAGGAACGAGAAAAAAAATTAAAATAAAAAAAAACACAATTTTTGACCATTTTTGAAATTTTTTAAAATCTTGATATATAATATTAATATTTTTGCTAAAAGTTTAAAAGGGTGACGTTTAGATGTAATGGAAGGTTTTTATACACATGCCTCTTGTCCATTTTTTTGTTTTATCCTAATTTGCAAAGTGTTACCAAACAACACTTACGCTCATATAAATAACATTAATGCATTTTATGTTTGTTATTATTTTTGTGAACCTTATAAATAAAAATATTGGAAAACCCGAATAATAAACAACCAATGTTTGTCTTTTTTGTCTTATTACGGTTACTTACTTAATATATTTATGCAGCAACAAGTTTTTTTAATCAAGATCCCCACCAAAATCTAACTAAATTTTATTATATAAAAATAGCTGCAATTGCATACAAAATTCAGTTCCAAAATTTGTAATAATCATGAAGTTATCAATTGTGTTGTTGTTTAGTGCTGTTGTAGTAGCAGTATCTTGTTATGATCTTGGTGAAAGATACAAAAATCTAGATGTCACCAAAATCTTAGAAAATGAAAGATTGGTTCAGGCCCATTGTGACTGTCTTTTGAAAAATACCAGGTGCAACAACGATGGAGAAGCACTGAAAAGTAAGAAAACCTAACTTAACGATTGCTAAATATTAAATAGAAAAAAACCTTTAAGAAGACCCGAATCTGAATCTTTATAGTCCATATTCATTTATTATAATAATAATATCTAATAATAATAATCGTCTTTATTTTTTAGTAAAATATTACAATAATATAGATTATTAAATACTTCACATAAAGTATTAAGGATATGCATATCTATGTATCTATGTATTTCTGTGCTCACTTGATATAATCATCCATTTCATAAAATAGATTTCCACTTCATGAAATGAATACGCTAGTGTATTTTAATTTAATTTCATCATGTGGATAAAAATCTTGGTGCATTACTGCCTTTTTATGCTTTTACTGAAATTTGTTATAATTTCATCATGTGGTTGGATAAAATCATCCATTTCATGAAAAGATTAAACAATTATAATTTAAATATTTAAAAAATTGATTGTTAAATTGAATCATTATTATTAGTTATAAATTTAGTAAGTATTGAACAAATAATACTAGCAATTCCTAAAAATAGCAATTATTTAACAATTTAACTAGTTAGTTACCTACAAGGATAATTATTTAATTATTTAACAAAATGTTACCAATTACTATTTAATCAACAGTGAAAAATAATTAACAGTTAATAGTTGACATCTGTTATTATTTGACATCATCACCTGTCATCTGTCATTTTTTTCACCTGTTATTGCCATTTATTTTTGGCATCTGACATTTTTAATGAAATTATATCACATTTGAGTAAAATCTGCACGTCGATTTATGAAATGTTAAAAATAAGTTGAAAATGAAAATGATTTTTTTATTATTACAGTTTATGTCAAAAATTGTCTGTCATCTCCCACCTCTCAATTTTGACTTTTTTAAAAGATCATTGGTCACAGGTCAAATTTGACATATGTCACTTTTCATTTTTTATTTCTGTCATTTTTTACAGATTTCATCTGTTATTTTGATCTGTCATATTTCGACCTAGGTATTATTATTTTTAAAAATTATTAAGTATATTGTTAGTGTTAATAATTAAATTAATAATAGTGTTATGTTAATAATTAAATATTTAAATAATTCGTAACATTTTACATATAATTAGTATTATTGTTAAATAATTGTTATTTTTATGAATGGCTAATAATATTTATTTGTTCAATAATTACTAAATTTGTAACTAGAGTTATTAATAATAATTCAAATTAACAATAATTTAAAAAAAAAATAGACTTTGTGTGGTAGTTTGACTCCTTAGAATGAACCAAAAGGACAAGTCATATTTCTAACTTATAAAACAAAATTATAAGATTACAATTGTACCAATGTTTCCTTACAATTTTGTACTGCCCCATTTTGATTAATAAAAAACAACTTTTAAATAAACAATATTTATTTAAATTAACGCACTATAATCTATACAAAAGTAGATAATATATTTTCTATTTGTTTTTCAGAATATGTACCAGACGCTATTTCAAACAATTGCAACCAATGCACAGAAAAACAACGAGCATCTGCCAGTTTGGTCATAAAACATCTTAGGGATAATCATTCAGAAAAATGCTTTAAGCCACTTATTAAAAAATATGATCCCAACAATGAACATTCTGAAGAATTAAAAGACTTACTTGCTTAGATATAAAAGTAATTGTAAATTGTCTAATTATCCTTTATGAAAGATGCTTTTAAATAAAATAAAGAATATGTTTGTTATACCTGTATTTTAATTTTTGATTGTTGGTAAGGATATTATATTTTTCTTAACATTGTAGAAGTTTTATTAAACAAATCGTCGACCAGCTTATAATAATTGCAATGTGAAAATTGTTTTGCAATACAATTTTTAACATAATAAGTAAATGTATTCATTGGTCAGAAATACCAACCATTAATTTTAACATTTGCCCTTTCTTTAAAGAAATGTATTGTTAATTTTTGCACAAACCATTGTAAATTTCAGAAACAAACTATGCATCGAAGTATTTTTTTTCGAAAAAACTGCTGACAGGTGCTGTCACACAGTTTTTTTTCCCTAGAAACCATTTGTAATTCAAAACTGCGCGTTTGTGATTGGTGGAAATTAAGACGAGGGAAATAGTCGAAAAAATATCCTTAAAGCCCTTTTATTTAATAATAAAAAACGCTCGAAAAAAAACTTTTATACGGAATTTTTTTTAAGTAAATAAAAAATATGCTGTGAAATACCGTATTTTTGTAAGTATACCCTGAAAATGTTGGACAAATCAAACGAACAGTAACAAAAACACAGCGCTTTAAAGTCGTCAAAAAATACCACTTTTCAGCAAAATAATCAAAAAGGGGTCATTTTTACAGACTTTGAAGCGCTGTATATTCGTTACTGTTTGTTTGATTTGTACAAAATTTTCAGGGTACACTAACAAAAATACGGTTGGATAAACGTAATAATATCGTAAGGGATGGGTATAGGGGAATTTCATGTAAAGCGGTTAACGAAAAAAGTGAGATTTTAAAATTTGTTAATATTCAGCCTAATTGTACTTCTGAAAGGTGTAAATGTAAATCCACAATTTTTTTATAAGGCTTAGTTTTCAAGTTTTGGGGTTCTTAAGAATCGACAAAACAGGAAATACTGATTTTTCGAAAGCAGTTTTTTGAAGTAGCAAGCGACACGTATGTACTTTAATCATATATAGATATATATCTTCTAAACTCTAAAACGCCTTTACCAATCTTTATACAATTTTGGATAAAAATACTTTAACTTATATCTCAGTTTACGTGTTCAAGGATTTTTCGAAAAAATATCCTTAAAGTCCTTTTATTTAATAATAATAAACGCTCGAAAAAAAACTTTTATAGGGAATTTTTTTTAAGTAAATAAAAAATATGCTGTGAAATACCGTATTTTTGTAAGTATACCCTGAAAATGTTCTACACATCAAACGAACAGTAACAAAAATACAGCGCTTTAAAGTCGTCAAAAATTACCACTTTTCAGCAAAATAATCAAAAAGGGGTCATTTTTACAGACTTTGAAGCGCTGTATCTTCGTTACTGTTTGTTTGATCTTTACTATAGTACACGGTTCACCGAACAACGTTTTTAACGAAAAAAATAGAACAACTTTGAAACATTTTTTAAAAAAATACTTACCAACCAAGTATTAAAAAAAAAAGTAAAATGAAAATCTTCCATGTAGATCTGGAGAAATAGCGATCAATTCTTCGTAATTTATGTGTAGTATCGTATATTGCTAATATTTTAACTGTCTCAAAGTTAATATTTGTAGAATATTTTTAATTTAAAAGACTCATATGATAGTAGGAAACTCAAACTTTATTCTTCTGAATGCATTATTCTAAATTATAAACGTTAAAATTGATAAACCTTTAAAAAAAATGTAAAAAACAACAAAATAAATCTAAGCCTACAGATGTTGACTATTGTATGCACAAAGACATTGAATCAAAATTATATTATATTTCTGGATAAATTAAAATTCCTGGAAAATATATTGAATGAATGATGAACTTGCTCCGAAGCTTGCTCTGAGAAAAAACCAAGGGCTCTTTGCGTTTTTTCAATAAATTGAGGAACATGATAAATGAGAGCATGGATCTTTGGTGTACATGTAATTCCAGCTTTTGATGATTTTAGTTTAAATTTTTTTATGTAGTCTTTATATTTATCTGCCAAGTTTTGGCCAAAGCAGCCAGAAACTACTTGATTGAACGCCTCAAATACAAGTATGTATTCATTGTCTAAAATAGAAATTATAAATCAGTAGGTAGAAAACATCCAAACAAAGCAAAGCTTATTACCTAATGACAAAGTTTTCAATACAACAATCGACTTTAGTAGTTTTCGTGCATTATTGCCATTAAATTTGCCATAATAGTCAAAGCATCCTCATCTCCGGTAATCAATGGAACATTTATATAGTTTTCTAAAAATGCAATGAACAAATTAAGATCTTACTTTGTTCATTGCATTTTTAGAAAAGGATGAGGATGTCCCAGTTTTGTTCTTTATTCCACCACCAGTACTTCAACTTATGCTGGGCATAGTACAAAAACTTTTTGATTCCCTAAACAGCAAATATCCAGAAGTTGCAGAGGCATGGGTGAAAAGTGCTGGAATCTGCTTTGACCATTATGGCAAATTTAATGGCAATAATGCACGAAAACTACTAAAGTCGATTGTTGTATTAAAAACTTTGTCATTAGGTAATAAGCTTTGCTTTGTTTGGATGTTTTCTACCTACTGATTTATAATTCCTATTTTAGACAATGAATGTATATACCCGTATTTGAGGCGTTCAATCAAGTAGTTTCTGGCTGCTTTGGCCAAAACTTAGGAGATGAATATAAAGACTACATAAAAGAATTTAAACTACAATCATTAAAAGCTGGAATTACATGTACACCAAAGATCCATGCTCTCATTTATCATGTTCCTCAATTTATTGAAGAAACGCAAAGAGCCCTTGGTTTCTTCTCAGAGCAAGCATCGGAGCAAGTTCATCATTCAGTCGATATATTTTCCAGGAATTTTAATTTATCCAGAAATAACTTAGAAAAATATAATATGAACTTGCTTCGATGTCTTTGTGCCTAAAATAGTCAACATCTGTAGGCTTAGATTTATTTTGTTGTTTTTTACATTTTTGTTAAAGTTTATCAATTTTTACGTTACTAATATTGAATAATGCATTCAGAAGAATAAAGTTTGAGTTTCGTACTATCGTATGAGTCTTTTAAATTAAAAATATTCTAGAAATATTAACTTTGAGACAGATAAAATATTAGCAATATACGATACTGCACATAAATTACGAAGAATTGATCGCTATTTCCCAAGATCTACATGAAAGATTTTCATTTTACTTTTTTTTGAATACTTAGTTGGTAAGTATTTTTTTTTAAAAATGTTTCAAAGTTGTTCTATTTTTTTCGTTAAAAACGGCGTTCGGTGAACCGTGAGTACCTATGTATACATAGGCCTTTTGATTATAATTATTAAAACATGCATTTAACAATTAAAATCAAGGATCTTCTTGGCATCGTTGAAAAAAGAACATTTAAATAAAATAAGACATTTATTCTTTGATAACACTAATAACACTAATAAACACAATTTTTATTACATATTTTAATAAATACCTTACCTTCAAAAACGTTAAACAAATTAATTAATTTTTTTTGTTTAAAAAAAAATTTAATGATTCCAACTCCACTGTGAAAGTACATACAACATGCCATAACACAACATAACCGGCAAAATGTATATTAGAAATACCTAAAATAGAATTATAATATTATATCAGTGATATAATACCACTGCCCCTAGAAAATGGCGAATTGCAAGTTGCAATGATACAAAACGTATACGTATACTATGCCGCAAACGGTGTGAGCGTTTTGCATTCCCTCCCATGTATCACAAGCTACAAGATTTTTATAGAAAATTGACATGCTATTGAGATAATTGTGATGTATCTCGAATGAATAATAATATTTATTTTTTTATAAAATATCTACAAAGTATTAAAATACAAAGAAATATAAGATAAAAAACCAATAGGTTTTGAAAGAGGGTGGGCACAAAAAACGTACCTACTAATTTTTGTACATAAAGTCAATTCTCCTATTTTTCATGCGAGAAAAGACTGTCTAACTGATCACGTATGTCTTGCCTATGACACTAAAATCCATGCATGCATTCATGTGAGAAACTGAATTTTCGTGTTTCTTAGCCCTCTCTGCGATGTGTTTTAAATCATCTAACCCATGTTGAGTCAACGCACTAATCTCTTTTTTAAAAATTAAGCACATAAAACAAAAAAGCTTATTTGTTACTGAACAACCGCATATCCACTCGTATTTATCATATATATTTCTGTTGATTACTCTATTGTAAGCTCGGCCTTTACCTGTGGAAGTGTAGTTTATTCGAAGATCGGGAATAGGTCTTCCTTTTTCCTTAAAAGTTTATCTTCATGTGACATCGGGCTTTTTAAAAGATTTCTGCACACAATTTACTTCCGCTGGTCCCATTATTGTTAATAAAAAATAAAGTTTATTTAAAAAACAAAACACGTAATTCACAACTCAAAAAAACACAACAGCGCGCGGCGACAAAAAAGAAATCAAACCAACTGACAAAGACAAAAACTCTCTGCAAACTGGCTACAAGAGACGCGGCGCTCGGGCACCGAGCCTCGGTGCCCCATATTGACGATATATTCGCGTACTGCGAGGATATCCGAAGATCACCGAATAATTCTTGGAATGGGAACATTTAAAATTGTGCCCCGGCGCAGTGTTGCCAGATTCGCAATCTGGCCGGCACAACGTTTTGCTCGCTGCAGCGTTGCGTAAAGAAGGTTTAAATCCAACGGTTTGAGCGGAAGAAAGGAAGGTATAATCTGTGGGTATGAGACCATCCTTAAATAGTAATTACAATGGTGTTACGTAAAACTAAAATAATGCACAATGCAACAAATAACTTTTTATACTTTTTATCTGGGCGGTTGGGTGGGCACGTGCTTGTGCCCTTTAGAACCAGCCGCCACTGTAAAAAACGTCAAAGGAAAAAAATAAGAAGCTTGAATCTAATTATCATCATGCATGTAATAACTTACAGTGTATACACTGAGCCATATATGGCTCCAGGTCTACCAACAATTTGAAAATTTCTTTTTTGAATTTGTTTTTATTTTTTATATGTTTTAAAAGTATCGGGAGTTTATTATGGTTTTAATAAATTTTATATAACACACTATTTTCAGTTTTTGTGTGGTAAGGGTAGTTATAATTTATAGTCCGTGTAAATATAAATATTAGGGTGCTTCAATTTAGTCCCACCTGAAAATTTTATAACCGGTCAGGAAACAAAAATTTTGAGCCAAGGAGAAAAGAATAAAAAATTGCTTGTTAATGGCTTTTAAAGGGAAATATTTAAAAATTGAATAGCAACCGCTTAAAATAAAGGTTAAGAGCTTTGTAATAGTTCAAAATTATTGTTTTCTGACCGGTTACAAGATTTTCAGGTGGGAAAAATGTCGTTCTTAAATGAAGCACCTTAATAAATATCTTTCATAGCTTTTGAACAAAAACACTTTGCACTTGGTTAAGAGAAGAAATATTGAAAAGATTTTGGGCGATTTTATGATTACTAACGGGACAAGCAAAAAAAAAACAAAATGTTTTATGAAAATTTTTAAAGATGAGCTGTTCCTATGATAATAATTTTATGACAGTCCTCAGCAATGAAATTAAGTAATAATAACAACACATTGTAAGGGTTCTGTGGTACATAAACTTTTAAATTCAAATTTGGCGCTATTTTAACCAAGGAAAATTTAAATAATCCACTAAAAATAATATTATAGTTTTAAGTTATTTTATGTTTTAAAAACCTATTGAGTTTTAAAATTTCAATTCTTTGTATCTGAACCTAGAAATATTAGGGGGAATTGTTTATGTCTCACATTACTGCTTGAAGTGGCCGAGATGTTTAAAATATAGAATTAGGGAAGAAAGATGCAGAAGAGTGTAGACTTTCATCCCATACGCATCTTAAAAAATTGTGAAATATATTATAATATAGCTATAGTTTTTGTGATTGTTACCGATTTTCTGCAATAATTAGGTATGTACACTTTTATAAATTGTAATATTTGCTAGTAATGATAAACAACTCCTCGTTTTGGGTTTTCTTAATACATTTTTGCTTATAATTTTGAACAATATTATTTAATTCGCATTTTGGTCTATGACGTTTATCATTGCTAGTTTATTGGGTCCTAATCATATGAATATGAGTAAATAAAGACTGATTTTTGGTAATAATTTTTATTGTATCACTATTTCATTATTTTGGTTTAATATCTTGGGATCGCGCATACACTGAATTCTAATCTTTATGTTGTCGCCTCGGTTGTCGCATTCACCATATAGGTATACCTGTGTATACACTGAATTACATTTAACTTAAATTTTAATATTTTGTATTGTCTTTATTTTGAGTTACACTGGCCTTGATTTTGTTGTTCCCTTTTGTTTAACTTTGTATAACTTTTATTTAACTGAAATGTATTTTATCGTTTATGAAACTCAGTGTATCATCTCGGTATTAAGGTATTTATTTATTTTAACTCTTTTCATTTGTACTGAGGCTAAACAATTATATTACTATTATAATATTGGTATTATTTGGGTAAGGTTTATTGTGGTTGTTATTATTATTATTGTTGCTATTATTATTATTATTATTAAATTTGATATTACCATTAGGTCATATCATGGTAAGGTAATAGTATCGTTAAGCCTTTTGATAGATTCTGGATAGAGACTTTGATTTAAACTGCTTATCAGCGCTTTATTTTAAATATTTGATAATGACTTTAACGTTATATATGATAAAAATCTCTTTATATTATTATCCAGCGCGACACTTTCTGGTGGTTAGAGTTCGGGCCATGTTTAGGTGTTTCTTGTTATGACTCTCTCCTATTTATTATTTTATTGTATTTTATTTATATTTTATACCATTTTAGTTTATTGCATATTGTTTATTTTATTTGTGTCTGTATTTGGAGAGTGCTAATACATGAATATTTGAACCTGGGTAATATATTAGCATTATTTCAAAAGGATTTATCCTTAGAAGAAAAATAGTGTTTTTATGTTATTTATTACCTATATAAACTCTGTGTGCAGAATTGTTTGTATATTTTCGCAATACTTTTGTCTTGTTCTGGACATTGCTTTTGTAAGAATATTTGAACATATTGTGATATAGCGACACTTTAGTGAGATAGGACCACCATAGCTGTCGTTATATCACTTCGCAGAGTATGCAATTGTTCCATAGTGTGGTTATTGGCTACGGTTAAATATCTGCACTAGATATATTTTTCCATGTTCCCCCCTTTTAAAAGCCTATGAATTCTCTCTATCAGAAATATGTCGTTGCTGTAGTTTATTTATATAAAATCGTATCCTCGTGCAATAGTTCGAAGATGCGTGGTAAGGTAAACAAATAGTACAACTCTTCGTCATAAAATGACGATCTCTCATAACTTCTTTACCTCAGTATAAAATGTTTTAAATATTGATAAAAACATCCAAATTATTTGAAATATGTATATCTGCTTTTCATGATATTTTATTCACTTATTATTTATACTGTATTCTTGTGATTATGACCCATATGACTATGTTTTGTTTTGTATTTTATTTTGTATTTGAATTGAGTAAGTCGCCAGGGTTTTTATGGTCCCTTTTCTCTGTGCTCTGACTCAACGGGCCACCCCTTGTCTTTGCTTAAATTAAATCAGGGGTTTAAAATTAAATACTTGTGTTTCATTAAACCTGACCAATTTCAAAATAACGTTATTATCAATGTACGTAAATACACAACGTAGAGTCCTTATTTTTATAAAGTAAGTAAATTAACTAGACGATCACGAATATGCCAAAACAAGTATTTCGGTATACTTAAAGAATCGGGTTACGAAAATACATAGTGTACTTTACAACATCTTTAAAATTTTCATAAAACACTTTGTCTTGTTTTTGTATTTGTTTTCAAGAGAACTATACTTCGTCCACCAATAACTTTTATGTTTAAGCAATACATATATGTATACCTACTCTTGCCGCTAATAATTTTTTATCAAGAGTTGACTACTTTAGTTTAAGGGCACCTTTATTTCAGATGCATCTTTAGCCTTTTTCCTTAAAAAATTACGCTATATCTCTTAGGATCCTATAGGATTATAAGATTTAAATTTATGTGGTAATGATTTCTTTAAAATTTCACTGACCTCTTAATTTTCAAGTTCATCTAATGTAAATATTTTGTTTAATAATGGTAATTTACTGGTTTTGTCAAGGATATAAACTATTATTTAAGTATGCAAATAAAAATATAAAAAAAAAATAAAATAAAGAGTTTTAAAAGTCTCAAACTAATTAATTGACCTATATTTTTTATTATATGGGTGGTATTTTTTAATTAAAAACTGCTTTTATGATAAAAACAGGGATTTTATTTAATTAATGTTGTAATATCAAAAATTAACTTTTAAAATAATAATTAATTAATAGTAAAAATTAAACTAAAACGTTTTAAAAACATTCGTAAATAAAAAATACATTTAATATTATTAGGATTATAATTTTTAAAGTAAAAATGGAAAGAATAATCCACCAAACAACCCATAGATAGTCTGTCTTAATTGAATCTTAAATATACATTATACCTACATAATTAATAATTATTAATTATGCAACAATTTTTTATTTTATTTTTATTTAAATAGAAATCCCCACCAAAATCTTATTAAATTCCATCATATAAATTTGGCTGCAATTTTATGTAAAATCAGTTCCAAATTTTTAAATAACCATGAAGATTTCTGCCCTGTTCTTGTTTAGTGCTGTTGTAGTAGCAGTAGCAAGCTATGAGCTTGATGAAAAATATAATAATATAGATATTAGTAAAATCTTGGAAAACGAAAGATTGGTTCAAGCCCATTGTGAGTGTCTTTTGAAAAATACCAGGTGCAACAACGATGGAGAGGCTTTGAAAAGTAAGAAAACTTATAACCATGATTCCTAAATTAAGAATATTAAAAATGAAATAAAACAAAACCCTTTACATAGGTAATCTCAATTCTTTAATTTGAATATAACAGAAATGCTATCTTAGATAGCTTATCTATACGAGTAGGTATATTACATTAAATTAAGCCCTTTATGCATTACCCACTAGAAACCTAAAAAGTTATATTAAATTCGGCCAAGGAGTTTTTGAAATTTTTGATAAAATATTTTTTTAATAACTTAACCACCCTGTACCTCGAAAACAAAGCTTTAAACACACAAGTTTATATATATATATATATATATATATATATATATATATATATATAAATATTAGGGTGGGCCAAAAAAACTTTTAATTTTCTTTTCTTTAGGTACCATGAAAATATCGTCCAAGATGACGAAAAAAAAATTCTGATAAAGTTTCAGCTCTTAATATCAATATTAAGAGGTGGCTCATCGCGATTTTTTATTTTCCATTTAAATAACACGGGAAAAATACATTTTTTTGTTTGGAATTTTATTGCGTTTTAACGAATCAGTGAGTTGTAGAAATCAATATATATTCTTGTAGGGAATTGAACTATCTACAAAAAAGATCTCATATGATTTTTTGCATAGTCGACTCTTTTAAAAGTTATTTGAGGTTAAAGTTCAACTTTAAATAGTAAATGATGACTTTTATAGTTTTTCATGCTCTATCACGAAATATTGTCTCAAAAACATGAAATTTCATATTTTTCGTGAAGTTTATCGAGTGTTCTTCGGTAAAACAATACAATTTTTACGAAATATCAATAACCGTGAAAAAAACGTTTTTTTCCTATATTTAATTTTTTTTTTAATTCGAAATTTTTTCTTTACCTGAGACAAAAAAATTAATCATATATTATATCACGACTCGTGATTCACGAGAACTATGAATTTAATCGGTTAAACTAGGCTCAGTAGTTTTTTGTTTGGTTTTTCTTGGAAAATGTTGAATGCAAAATAATTTAATAAAATCACGAGACCGCGTAGCGGTCGAGGGGTTTTATTTTTAATTATTTTCCATGAAACTATTTTCCAAAAACAAAAATCAAATAAAAAACTTACTGAGCATAGTTTGACAGATTAAATTTATAGTATAAGTGATATACGTCTAGATTATTTCCATTAATTTAAGGTATGTAATAAGTAATAATTGATATTTCGTAAACTAGATAACTTATTTTTTATTGTTTTTTAAAAAATGTTTGTTAAAACTTGTAAATAACACCATAAAATCGTAAACAAAAATCCAATATGGAGGCTTTAATCGCTTATTTAAACGAAATTTATTTGAAAATTCAAGGCTTTGGATTGGTTCATATTATAATGAGGGAAATAATCATTAAAAAATAATAAATATTCTATTTACACTTGACTATTAGGTAATGTAGAGTAATAAAAGTCATTTTTCAATAATTTTTCAATTAAAATAAAAATGTTTATTTTAATTGATAAATTATTTAAACATGGCTTTTATTACCTAATAGTCAAGTGTAAATAGAATATTTATTATTTTTTAAGAAAATGATTAATTTTTTTTGTCATTACTTATGTAAAAAAATCGATTTTTAAAAAAAATCAAGGATAGAAAAAAAAACGTTTTTTCACGATTATTGTTATTTCGTAAAAATTATATTGTTTTACCAAAGGACACTCTATAAATTTCACGAAAAATATGATTTTTCATATTTTTAAGCCAATATTTCGTAAAAGAGTATGAAAAACTATAAAAGTCTTCATTTACTTTTTGAGGTTGAACTTTAACCTCAAATAACTTTTAAACGAGTTGACTAAGCAAAAAATCATATCAGATCTTTTTTGTAGATCGTTCAATTCCCTACCAGAATGTGTTTTGATTTTTACAACTTATTGATTCGTTAAAACGCAATAAAATTACAAACAAAAAAATGTTTTTTTCCCGTGTTATTTAAATGGAAAATAAAAAATTGCGATGAGCCACCTCTTAATATTAATATTAAGAGCTCAAACTTTATCAGAATTTTGTTTTCGTCATCTTGGACGATATTTTCATGGTTACTAAAGAAAAAAAAATTAAAAGTTTTTTTTGGCCCACCCTAATAAATATATATATATATATATATATAAAACAACAAACAATTTTGACTTTAAATTACAAGTGTTTTTTTAAATTTAAACATATATATATATATATATATATATATATATATATATATATGAGGACCCTAGAAGCCAAGGGGTATAAGTACATTTTGTTTAGTTTTGGTTTAATCATGTTTAAATTTAAAAAAACACTTGTAATTTAAAGTCAAAATTGTTTGTTGTTTTATGACTTTATTTGTCAAGATGTCTAAGCTTAGAATTAAGTTATATCTCTTGGATACCAAGTAAAATGTACCATTTACTTTCTTTTTCTGTACAAAACTACTTTTTTTTGTAAATGTCACTTGTATCCCTTGGCTTCTAGGGTCTTCATATATATATATATAAACTTTTGATCGACTACTAAGTTTTCCCAAATAAAATCTGAGACACGTCTAAACAATCTTTTTTTTTTCAGAATATGTACCAGGGGCTATTTCAAACAATTGCAGCGAATGCTCAGAAAAACAAAAAGAAGCTGCCGTTTTGGTTATAAAACATCTGAGGGATAATCATCCAGAAAAATGTTTTGACCTTCTTATCAAAAAATTTGACCCAAAAAATGAACATGCTGAAGAATTAAAAAAATTGCTTGCTTAGATATATAAGTAACAAAATATTACTTAAATTGTCCAATTTTACTTATACATTATTATGATGATTTTAAAAGGTTCCCTTTAATAAAGTTTATATTTTTAATAAAATTATTTGTTTTTTTTTTGTTTGTAGTATATTTACGAAATTATGTATTTAAAAAATCAAGATTATTAAACATATAAGATTTTCTATATATTTATGTATTATATATATAATACATAAATAAACGGCTAAATTAAATTAAACGAGTAGTGGTAGTAAAAGCCAACAACAAATCCTATCAAATAATACCAAGATTTCTGGGACGAATGGTTTTAAACCAATAAATTTTTCCCTATTTTCATTTAAATTGCCTTTTTTGGAGGCGTTTCCTACCAAGAGCGCGTTCGAAAACTCGCAAGAGTGCACTCTGGATACACTCCAAGTTTACCTTGCGCGTTCGAAATCTCTGGTATATACCTAGATATATGCAACTGTCAACTGTTCGAAAACAGCACGTATATGCCCAGAGTGCACCCTAGACTCTAGAGTCTAGGGAGTGCACTCTCGGTTGTCCAAGCTTTATACACTCCAAGTTTAGACTTGGTTAAGTTTTACCCGTCATGCGCATAGGGTACATCAAACAATAATTTGAATTTACCTTCATATAATTTAATAATATCCATTTAAGATTTAATAAAAAAAACGAAAAACATTTAAATAAAAGAATATATTTAAAAGAATTTGTTTAAAATAAATTATTTAAAAAATATCAACTCTAAAAATAAAAAAATAGCACAAAAACTTGAATAAACCATATAACTATAGTTTATAAAGGGTTGAAACACAATAATTTAATATTTATATTTATTCAGTCAAATAACAAGCAAAACCAATTAGTTTTAGAACACTACAACATAAAGTTTATAAGTATATGCTCCGCGGCACGTGATTATATACTTATCCTTATACCATATCCAAAGTAGACGCACTCCAATGTCTACATAGCCAAAAATTAAAATCACTAATAAGTATATTCTCTTCCCCCCATAAAACAATACTTTTGGGTCCCAAATTCAGGCCCATTAGATAAAATTTTCTTTGTTCATAAATAAAATTAAAATTTAAAAATTGAATAAGTTAAATGTTTTTATCCATTAGTGATTATTGACTATTAACATTTTTTTTATTTAAAAGGCCCGCATCAAGGTATACAGTGGGTATACCCATTATACAACATATGTATCATGGGGTATACCTAACGTGACCATACACTGAAAAAAATAAGCTGTTGAAACAACAAAAAAAATATTAATTCAACTCTTTATGCACTTTAAATACAAGCAATGGTTTTTGCACGTTTACTTAACCATCTAAAAATGTCAAATTGTATTGTTTAATTGAACAACAAATAACAGTCAAATGAACAAAATAAGAATATTTGTTCTAATCTGCTAATTTGGTTAATTTAACATTCTTAGGGTGTTAAGGTAAATTTCTTGAAATGTCCAGGTAACCTTTTTAGCATATTCACTTAACACCAATAAAATGTTAAATTAACATTCTGAAAATGTAAAATTCTTTAAAGGTTGGTATCCAAAACAAAATTATGGAAATAATATATTATTATAAATATAAATAGAAAGAATTGAACCTTCACCTCGCCCAGAGTTTTTGTTTTGAGCGTGTTCCACCCATGATACATCTTTGTATCATGTGTTCCACCTACTTCAAATACCGACAGACTGTTTCGCCCTGTATTGAGGGTCTTAACAGTGTCGGGCAATATGGTGTAGTGAAAGTTCTACTGTGGAACACACCTTAAACAAACAGATATCTCATCTTATATACACCTAATCGTAAGCTAACTAAGGCGAGATGTAAGAAAACGTCATTGTCTAATGACGTGGCGTGAGTGTTCGAAGCGCCATTCTCGGCAATTTTATGAATGCAAATTTTACATTTTAAATTTTAAAGTAACATTTTAAATTTGTTAAATGAACAAATTTAAAGTTTTGGATTAAAGAGCAACTAAACGTTAATTTAATAGTTTTTTTTGGTAATCCTAAAAATTTCAGTAGTTGATTCAACAAATTCCAGCTATTAAATCAAAGTACGATAAACATTTTAATTCAAAATATTAGTTTATGTTAAATTAATATTTAAACTGTCAAATGAACAAATAAACTTTGACAAACTCTGACTTTTGCTTTAACACCAAAATATAGATTAATCCAATAGGTTTTTTGTTGAAACAACATTTTTAAAAATGACATTTAGGCAAATGTTAACTCAACTACATTATTTTTTTCGGTGTATGTCCCGTTTTGAACGGGACCGCCTTTTTATTCGGTTATCTATTCTGTTGTCCCCAAAAACAACTCCGGGACGCAAAATTGTCCCGTTTTCCAAAACCGAGCGAAATTTATGTGTTTCACTGGACGCGAGCAGTGCGAAACCGCGTGGAGCCGTGAATATCTGGAATAGTGGACTTACTTTCTTACCATAAAAGGGAGATATTTTATTGGGCAGATTTTTAATAAATACCCGCTTGGAAAGACGTTCAAAAAGCACTGGATGGATTGATTGAAAAGGGATATATTGATTGTAATAAAGATACAGAAGTATTTGACGAATTTTCTTTAATTTGGAATGAAACAATCTTAATGTTTTCACAGAGACTTGTTGGGTGAAAGTAGGTATTCAAACACTTTCGCACCAACAATCTTAAACTTGAGAACTTTTGTATTTTAATTGAATATATTTTGTGTCTGCTACAAATGCTCCAGTAGGAAGAGTATTTTCTTTATAAAGAAAATACTCTTTGAATGAATAAATTGTGGACGTCTGAAAAAACCCAGTTACATAATCCAGTTCTTAAGGCGATGTTGATAACTAAGGTGAATAAAAAAAAAACGTTTCAAGAATTTTATTCGTATTTAAAATCATCACCAGCAGTACTCACAGTTAGCCTAGAGGGTCTTTTCAAGAAAAAAATATACATGATTTAAAACTCGGATTTTTGGAATACATATAAGATCTACTACTATTATCAAAAAAAAATAAAATCTTTTATCGAGCCCTTTTCTAGAAATTGTAGAAAATGTTTTTTTTTTGCTAGACGTAAAAATGACCTATTAAAATACTATATTTTATTTTATTTCTCTTGAGATGATGTTGTAAACTACAACATTTGGTTAGTTTCTAACCTATAAATATGTAAAATAAACAATATCGTCAATATTTTGATTATTTAAGTTGGCAACGTATCGTAATAAACACGTTATGTGAGGCTCTCTAAAATTTTGTGAAAAAAAGTGAAATTAAGTGATAATTGTGATTATAAATGGCTAAACATTAAAAAGTTAGTTATTATTTATGCAAATTGGATGATTCAAATTTATCTAAAGTGTTTTAAAATCATAAATTAACATTAGAATAATTAGTGGTTAGAAAGATAGTGACTTTTGTTTTTCCCAAGTTACCTACTTGGGAAGAAACCATATTGGATTTTTGTTTATTTACATAATGGAGTCGAAATTTTGTAAACAATGTGCAAAGGATGATAAAACTGACAGTAAAGTGGTTATGTGCATCATATGTGAGTCCATATACCATGCTAAATGTATAAAATTAAAGGAAACTTTGTTTAAAAGTATTTTGAGCGACGATAATATTGTGTTTAGATGTGAAGATTGTAAAACTAAAAAAAGTATAAATGAAATTATAAGTGAGTTAAAAAATTCAATTGATAATTGTGTAATAAAGTTAAACAACCAAGAAAAAGTAATAACGAACCAGAATAAAACATTAGAAGAACTTACAAACCAAATAAGAAAGCTAAACAAAGAGGAAGTTAAAATGACTTATGCTGACAAAATTATACAAAATAATAAAGAATGCATAATTATAAAACCAACTACGGAACAAGATAGTAAAAAAACATTCACAGAAATTAAAGAAAAAATAAATCCAGAAAATTTATCAGTAGGAATTGGTGAAGTTAAAAATGTTAGAGATGGAGGAGTTCTAATAAGTTGTTCTACCAATGAGTCAAAAGGAAAATTAATGAATAAAGTACAGGAAGAATTTGGAAATAAGTATAAAATAGAAGAAGTTACATTTAAGAAGCCAAAACTGATTATTTGTGGTGTAGAAGAAGAAGTAATAAATAAAGAAGACAATGACATTCTACATATAATAAAGGAACAAAATAGCTTAGAAACTGAAGGAAATATTAACATAAATTGGAAATACAAAAATAAAAGAAAACACAATTCTGGAAATATAACAATTGAAGTTGAACCTATAATATTTAAAGACATTATTGCCGAAGGAACTCTAAATTTGGGATGGAGAGAATGTAAAGTATTTGAATACTACAACATTATGAGATGTTTCAAATGTGGAAAATATAACCATAAATCCAAGGACTGTACAAACGACGAAACCTGTTCTAAATGTAGTGAAAAACATAAAACAGAGGAATGCCAGTCTGAAAACTTATCTTGTATAAACTGTAAATCAACATCAGAAAAATTAAAAATTAAATTAGATACGAACCATGCAGCTTATGATAGAAATTGTGCTGTATATCAAAAACTGGTGCAAGCTGAAATAAGAAAAACAAATTTTTCCAAACAATAGCAATTAAAAAAATCTAATGTTTTTGTGTTGTATTTAAATTGTCAAGGATTTATACACAACAAAAGTGAAATTGAGTATTTAGCAGCCATATGGAATCCAATTGTTATATGTTTAGTCGAAACACATGTAGACAGAAATATTACAGAGAAAGAAATAAAAATTAAAGATTTGAAATTTGAAATTTGCCATACAAATAATAATAGAACTGGAGGTATTTTAATATTTATCAAAAATGGAATACAATATAACAGATCAAAAAACATAAATATAGAAAACTTAATTTGGTTTTTAGGAATTGAATTTAAATACAAAAAACAAAGATATTTAATAAATGCATTGTACCATTCACCAAATTCAAGCCATGCTAGTTTTATACAATACATGAATGATATAATTGAAGAAATTACGGACTATGATGGGAAATTGTTTATACTTGGAGAATTT